TCTATTGTTGGTTTTTTCCGTTTGTTTATTTTTTTCACGATTATTTTCAGTGACATTCAATTGAGAATTTAATTCTGCATTTTTATCACGTGATTTTTCAATGTTATTGTCACCTAAGTTATCCTCAATTTCCACTTCTTCTTCCTAAAGTAAAATAGTAATTAAAAAAAAAATTATTATTATTTAACACAACACTGATAAGTAAAATTTTGAATCAAATCTTTTTAAACTATATCAACCACAAATGTAAAACTAATAAACTGTAAATTTTTTAATTTATTTTGAATTAGAAATATAACAAATTTTGTAATTAATAACTCTATTAAAGCTTTTTTAATAAAAATATTTCACTTACTTTTATATGAATATCTTCATTTCGTGACTTTTTTGATGGAATTCCATCTTCTTCACTTATTCCGTTTGATTCAGTTTCCTGAAAAAATGTAATTTTTTCAAAATATAAGTTCGAATAATAATTATTTCACATTTTGTTTTTTTTTCAATCTTAGTCAACAATATTATATTTCATCTAATTTTAATAAATAATAGTTCTTCTCTAGTTCATTGAAAAATTTGCAATATAATTCCCTTCGTTGAATTTTATTGAACATAATTTGTTAAAAAAATATTAAACATGAAAGAAAATTTTGATATAAAGAAACCTCCTTTATTTGAGAACTTTTTTTGTGATTTTTTATTGTTTCATTTTCAGTATATAAACGTTTTTAATTTGAGGTTACGTCTGCTATTGAACCTCAATACTTAATTAAAATTTTTCATTATGTTTTTTTTTAGTAAAATAAAAATGTTGTTCATTAATTTTAATCATTATTTTCTAATAATTATTATTATCTTACCTCCAACTCTCTTTTTATAGTTGTTTTTATGTCTTGAAACATTTTGTTTTATATTGTAAAAATTACATTTGAATCTGAAACCAATTAAATAACACAATTACATACCATTTATAAATAAATAAAATAAATTAGCAACAAACAATCTCGGAGTTGACCGGCCGGCGTAAATAAAGAAATTTTGTTACGGTCCTGAGTAGTTCCTTTTAAAAATTGCTGTTAGAACTTGATCAGATCATACAAGTTTTTTTTTGTTAATTTGGTTTTAGTAAAAAAAAAATTAATAATTTATTAGTTATAGTCACTTTTATATGTTTTCATTAAAAATGTAATAGATATATTGTCTACTAATATAGTTCAATTATTTTTTTACTAAAGTTAAATTCATTAAATTTCTAAACTTTTCTTCATGTATATGTTATTGTAAGTAAACAAATTGATCATTTGCAACTAATAAATTATGTTTTATTAATATTGAAATAGAGCAAAAAAGTCTAGGGTATTACAAAGTTCTTAATCCGTTATTGTCTGTTGCATACATATATATATATATATATATATATATATATATATATATATATATATATATATATGTAATTTTTGTTTGATATAGTTTAGAAAACTGATTGCAATACTTAACCTTTTATGTTTAACAAAATTTTGAAAACAATAGACACTGAAAAACTGTTAACTTATTAAACTGTTTTTTTTTATGTATTCTAAAGTAAAAATAATGGTATCAAAATAATGAAAATACAACGCACATTGCACGTTTATGTTCTTTAGAAACTGATGCTATATAGGTACATTACCAACAAAAATCATTGAGTTTTCGTGTACCGTCGGAATTATTCGTAAACTTTCGGGAGTTATTCCTATAGCAATTCCAATTCCTCACACAGCTTGTTGTCGAAAGTTACTGTGCCTCGTTGTAGAACAATAAGTCTGTCATTATAATTATTTTTATGAGCAATAATTGCTTTGAATATTATTTTTTAAATTAATTCTTATTGTGAGAAATAACTCGTACAATGATTAACAATTTATTTGTTAAATTTAAAATATTATGAGTTTTAAGTAAAGTTTGCAAGTTCTACATTACCCGTGAGTGATAATGCTTCATGCTTGTTGTAGGTAAAGTAGTTATTGACTGTAATTTTATTGTGCAAAGGTATAAAAATTTAAGAAAAGCAAGTACAAAACATATGCCAAAAATGTCCAAGGAATGTACTAAAAAGTTCCAAAATCTTTGATAACCGAAATGAATATTACATTGAAATTATGTATACTTTATAACCTAACGCGCGCGTAATGTAAAGGGTATTAAGTCTTAAATGCTAAACGACCCACAACACCGAAGTGCTGTTGAAGATCCAAATAGACAAAAAAAAGTATATCGTGATTACTGGTCATATATATACATATATTTATCCTTATGGGCTAATTCGACGAAAAAGGATTATGTTCCAAGAATGTACTAAAAATGTCCAACAAATTTCTTTGTAATATCCTCAACATGTCTAAAAAATGTGCTGAAAAAAGTTTCAAATTTTTTCCATAATTTACCAAAAATATCCATAAGGTTTCTTCAGGATATTTTTGTAACTGCTCTAGACCAGATATAGCTTGTTTATATATTAGGACGTCTTTATTTCATTCTTTTTGATATCTATAGGATGCCTTTTTAGGGACATATTTGGGATGTTCTTAGGATATCTTTAGAACGTCTTTTTAACAATGTCGCAAGAACGTTCCGCAAAGGATGTCCGTGCTCATTGGGTTATTTCAAAAACGGCTAAGGGAATTATTTTAAATTTTGTTGAAAAATCAATCAGAAGTGTTATACAGAATCAAACCCAGCAAGAAATTTTGGAGGTGCTATTTACTTTAAATTAAAATGTACTCTAGTTTCTATACAAAATAAGATAAAATTGTACTAAAATCGAGTTTTTTCAAAAAATGCTATGAGGATTATTTTAAATTTTGCAGAAAAACCATTCAGAAGTGTCACAGAATCGAACCCAACAAGAAAATTGGAAGTGCTATATTTATCTTCATTTAAAATGTGCTCAGAACAACCGTGATACCAAGGAGAATTTTTTATTCGATCCAAATATGTAAATAATAAATGTATTTGATTTAAATAAAATAATCTGTTTTTCTCAAAGCTAAACTATTTATTTGTTTCAAACCCACAGTACGGGTTTGCTTCAAACATCACATTCGGGGGTTTTTAGAGTCGCTGTTTACTAATCCGATGTTAGTTTTTCAAAATACAAAATGACGGATCCAAGATGGCGGACAAAATTTCCAAAAATTAATTGAATTTGCTTAAAAATTGGTACTCAGAGATTTTCGGGGACGCTGGATTACGAATTCAATGTTAGTTTTTCAAAATTCAGAATGGCGGATCCAATATGGCGGACTTTTTTTTCAAAAATCGTTCGGATTCGCTTAATAATTAGTATTCAGGGGTTTTTGGGGTCGCTGATTACGAATCCGATATTAGTTTTTCAAAATTCAAAATGGCGGATCTAATATGGCGGACAATATTTTAAAAAATTGCATTGATTTGCTTAAAAATTAGTACTCATGGGTTTTTAGGGTCGCTGATTACGAATCCGAAGTCAGAATTCCAAAATTCAGATTAGCGGATCCAATATGGTGTATGAATTATGACAAAAATATTGGTTTCTTTGAAAAAATATTGGATTTTCCTACAAATGGGTATCTTAGGGTTTTTGGGGTGGCTGATCAATCATTTTTAATTTTTCAACATTTTAAGAATCTGACTTTATATTTGTAATCAGCGACCTCATAAATCCTCAGAAACCCATTTTTTTTTAAGGAAAAAACAATGATTTAAAAAAAACGTCCGCCATACTGTATCTAACATTTGAATTTTGAAAACTGGGTGTCGATTATGTAATTTGATTTGACGTCAAAATCAAATTCATTTTAACGTCAATGTCAAATTTAATTCAACAAATTCATTGTTTTATTTAACTTAGACGTTAAATTAAAATTTAATTTTTTATTTCAATTTGACTTTGACGTCAAAGTCAAATCAAATTTCATAATCGACTCCCTGACGTCGAATTCGTCATCAACGACCCCGAAAACCTCCGTGTAGAGAGTTTCAAGCAAATCCAAACAATTTTTGAAAAAAAAGTCCGCCATATTGGATCGGCCATTTTGAATTTTGAAAAACATTGTCGAATTCCTTCTGCCGACGAAGGGGTTATTAGTTGTAATATGATACTATGCATGTAGTTCTATGATTTAATTCGAGCTCTTGGATTGTTTCAAGATCTTGAAACTCTCCAGTGTTTGAATTTTCTGGGTTCTCAAACAAATTCGAGAATTCAGGAAAAAAAATAAAAATTTTATTCCATTTTTTTCGAACTGTTTATTTAAATATGATAATAAAAAATAAATATTGTTTGAGTTTTCTAATGTTGAATTCGACTCAAATTGAATAAAAAAATATCTCAAATGACATTTTCACATCCCTGCTATTTATAAAATATCTTTAATTCAACAAAATGATTCTTGATTTAAAGAAACAATTTAGATAAATAGAAAAAAAAAGATTATTTTCAGCGCTTATTTTCTCCTCAAAAGACGTCACACGAAAGTAGACAAATAATCGTAACCATCATCTTTGATAAGCGTGGGAAGTTTTGAAAAGATTCAATGAATCCATACTTTGTCGTCGTCTAAAATCTGCGGTCAACACCCGCGCCAATACACTTCTTCCGATTCAGAATCACGTTCTATTATCGGATGAGAAAGTGGGGCTTTAAAAGCTAATGACATCAAAAGTTCACTCTCTCATCGAATTCGCAGCCAGTTGACACGCTTTCCGTGCTTGAAAGCTCACACCAAGCCACTCTTATTGGCCAAGAGGGACATCAACCTCCATTCGGATTGGTTACAGGGCGAGGCTTGCGTATCACCGAAAGCTCACCGTTAACTACCAAAACGCCGGTTACCCCAAGAACCAGTGCTCCAAAGCTCCTCCTACCTACCTAATAATCATCGACGCACATATACATATATATATATATATAAAGAGACGTATGAGATCTCGCTTCTTATATACATAGAATCCCAAACACATGCGACAAAGACAGATGCACTCTGATGAAGAGTGAGTGCTATATAGAAAAGAGGTTAGGTAACCCTCTTTATGCCATATACGAATAAGAACGCAAAGAGAATCCTTGATGAGTCTCTCTCGTGAGAGACGAACGAGGATGACATCATTGGTACAGAAAATTTGATGAAAGAAGATGGGGCGCATTCAGTAAAGTGCGACCACCAGAGGCAGACAGTGTCGCGAGAGCGTCAAACGGGAGGCACTTTTTCAAGGGGGAGGGGGTGAAACCCTTCGGGTCATGTGCGTCAGAGAAAGACCAAAACTATATAACCATATTCTCGAATTGGGGGCGGAGTGGCGCACTAATTCGAAAAATAAGTCTCAGATGCGCGACAAGCACACTTGACCAAAGCACTTCTCATCAGAAGGGTCCCAACTGGCCTCGAGTTGTTACATCACAATTATAATATTAAACCACCTCCAATCACAAAACCCTTTCATCAACAAATTATCCCAATTATCGATCTAAAAACTTTTTAGAAAATTTAATCCAAAAAGCATCAAAATTAAAATTTTTTTTTTTTGATTATTTTAACGTGTTTTTCGTATGCTTTTGATAAAAAATATCTAATTAAAAACTGTGATTAAAATATCGGCAAAATCAAAACAAATACCAAATAAAAAATTAGTGATCAAACTATGTTCTAGTGAGTGTTTTATATGTTTTTTTCCACAAGGATTAACACTATTGTAAAATGGATCAAACTGAGAAGATGGAGATATGTGACATTTCAAAGGCTTCTCAATCAAGTCAACAACCAACCCCCTTTAGTATAGCTGATATATTGAGTAATAATGGATTGCCCGAAAGACGACACTCCACCTGTGAAAATAATCGAGAATATGTCAAGTCAAAGAATGATGATAATGATGATGATAAGACATCATCAAGGCAAATAATTGAATGTGCGGGTGATGCTGATAATATTCATATTTCACGATTCTCATCGTCACGACTATCTAGTCCCGATCTTAATATGGCTAGAGAATTGGAAATATTGAGGCGAAATATTGTTCATGCTAATTTATCGAATTTTGGTACACTACCTAATACTCAAATGAATCATACGAATTTTAAACACGTGGACACTATGGGAAATGTTATTGTACCATATCCGGAGAGTAAAGAAGCAAGGTTCGCACAAAGACAACAGGATGAAGCTCTTGATATGAGCAAGAGTAAATATCTCGGTAAGTTAATAAATAAATAAAAAAAAAATTATTTCAATTATTAAGAGACTCTAAATCTGAATTATAGGAGTGCGTATTCGTTTACCAATTGAATTAGTATAACAGTTTTGACTAATTTTTAGTAAAAAACTACTAATTGCTAGTAGAAAACTACTAATTCATGGAGTAAATCGGCTTACTAATTTGAAATATTAAAAAATACGACTTACTCCATGAATTAGTAGTTTTCTACTAGAAATTAGTAGATTTTTACTAAAAATTAGTCAAATCTGTTACCAATTTAATTGGTAAACAAATACGCACTCTTATTCATTAGTAGAAAACTACTAATTCAGATTTTGAGAGGAGATTTCGAATTTTAGACGAATTTTTAATTTTAATGCAGAGAAAATTATCTTTATTATTTTCAATTATTTATTATCACTGGAAATCAGTGATATGTGACTGATTTTCAGTAAAAAATTTACCTTTATCTTATTTTAATACAACACAATTTTATGTGTTAATTTAATTTATTAAATAAATAATTTAATATAATAATAAGTACAGAACAGAGAAAATCTGATTTTAAAATAATTCTGAAATTAAGTATACTTGGTATTAAAAGTAAAATTAATGCATTAATTTTACTTTTCACACAGTGAAATGTCTTAAACCGTTTACACCTAAAGAATGTGCTGAAATCAATATCCTTTTTTTTTAAAAAAAATCATTTTATTTCAGTGTATACACTGCGAAATAAAATGATTTCATTCACTCGACTATTATCAAAAAAAAAATATTATTATAAATATAAAAATAATTTTTAAATGCGTCAATTAAATTTCATTTGCTTGAAATGCAGAAATTATTTTATACAAATAAATATTTATTTGCTAATAGTATATAAAAAGACAACTTAAAGAATTAACAAAAACTCTCGTAAAAATCTAACCCTTTTGAAGACAATAAAACCCTGTTAAAAATTATTCTGAAACTTAAAATTTATTATCAAAAATTGAAAATTTATATAAAGCCAAATAACTTAATCCAATTCGTAATGATAATTATAATATCTATAAAAAAAAGAGAGAAATTTGTGTATTGTATGCGTACACAGAAAATTATAAGGTATATTAAAATCAGCTGCAACGCATTATTATTTTAATCCAATTTTGCTTATTTTAATACCAAAATGGATTAAAATAAGCAAAATTGGATTAAAATAATAAGCGTTGCAGCTTCTTTTAATGACTTTTAATTTTCTGTGTATTGAACAAGCGGAAGAGATTAAAATCTGTAACCGCACAGACAATTTTGAGAATTGATGCGCGTGAAAAACACAAGAAAACATTGAATTAATAGGTCATTCGGGGCATAATATCCGGCACAACAGAAACTAAATTTTCAAGGGTTTTAAAGTTAAACTGAGAACAGATAACGTAATTGAATGTAATTTTAGTAGCATAAGTGGCACTTGACGGGGCAGACGTCACAAGTGCTCGCTACTCCACTTCTTGCACTTGTTCGACTGCTGGCAGCAAAGCTTCTTCGACTTTTGATAATAATTTCAATTTCACAAGCTCTGCATGGAAATTATATATTCACATATATTTCAATGCAAAATTCTTTCTATTTAAAGTTAATTTCGATTTTTAAAATTGAATTTTTGCTTATCTTTTGGTATAAATTCATTTCCAAATTCCTGCACCTTCTCTATGGCTTTATGTCATCATAACTAGAATTCATCACTTCCGCTTCTATATGATACGATATAGGGAAGATATAGAATTACTTTCTAGGGTAAAAGTTCTTCTATTTCAGCAAACACAATCCTATCAGTAATCTCAACGAAAATCAATTAAAATTTTAACAATATCGAAAAGGGGCAACTACCCTTATTATATACATTATTATAAATACATATAATCTTATTGCACAAATTTTTCACAAATACTTTATATAAAACTTCAAAATTAAGAATATTTTACAGCTGCTATTTTTGAAAAAAAAAAACATTCTAAAATAGCTACCAAGTATAAATTCTAAATTTTAGAATGTTTTTTCCAGATTATACGATAAAAGGGACCTTATGGTAAAGAAATTTTAGGTTATGTTTAGTGATAGTTTTACCTTGATAAAAAGTTTTTACCAAACGGAAAAACAATGATATGGTTGGGACATCCATATTTATGAATATGAAAGGAACATCAATTTTCTATGGATATATGCCAACCATATAGATCTGGATGTGTCAATTAAAAAAAATGGATGTAGTAGAAATATAATATTGATATCCGATATATATGGTTTCTCCAACCATTCCTTTCTTTCCGTGAATAAAGTCCTTTTTCTTGTGGAGAGTCACATATATCTATTATTCTGCCGTCCCAACAAGAGTAGCAGTAACTACATTTTGGATAAGTCACTTATTGGTGGCAGTGGCAGTGGCAAGTAGGTGACTCATCCTAAATGCAGATACGGTTATTCTTGTTGGGGCGGCAGTATTGTGATCTTATAAAAATAAAATTTTAATTTTTGTATAAAATTAAAATTTTTATTAACTTTAAATTTATAAGATTTTAATGGACAGCTTAAGAAAAAAATTATTTCAATAATATCTGAATCATTATTATCAATTAACATATATATGTATAAATGAGAAATTGAAAAATTGAGAATAAATTTTTTAAGAGAATTTTATGTATATTATAGAGTAAACAAGACGAATGAATCGAGAATTTATAAAATAAAATTGTTGGCAGGAATCGAAAGCAATGAAATTAAACCTGTAATTAACTAATGCGTTCTCACCCACTGTCGTTTACAACGTAATAGTAGCGTTTTTGTGGCAGAGAACGTGAGTTGGAACGTGCTGGCACCGATTCAAAGGTGCACTCATGGAAAATTGCTAGTCCTCTTTTTTACATCCTCCTCTAATCTTCTTCCTTCTTCTCTTTCACACATACATATGTAATGACATATCGTTTTAAAATTACTTTGTCGATAATATCCCAATTAATCTATAATCGCCAATAAGTGCAAATGTATATGAATTAAATGCAATATCCCGTCAAGATATGTATATTCTATTTGTAAATACATATGACGTTATAACAAAAAATAGCAAATATTAGCCTTCAAAAATCAGAAGATATATATCTAAAACTAATTTGTTTACGCACACTTTCTCAATCACTTGTCAAATCTTTATTCTCTAAATCTTAATTAATGTAATAAAAAGTAGACTTTAAAAAGAATTTTCACAAAATTTTTAGTAAAAATTAGTTTAAAAAAAAATTTGTCAATTTTTGCTTCACATTGATATTATATAATTTTGTTAAATAATTCAAAAAATCGGATATTTCAATATAATACTACTTGTAATTATAAAGATCGACGAGGGGAGTAAGTCATAATAAGTATGTGTGTTTAGAGGGGAAAAGTTATTTGATTACATTCATTGACGAAGTGAAACCCCTTCTTTCAGTTAATGCACTGGACCCTAAAATGATCTTTAAACATATATTACCCGGTGTCAAGATTTACAGAAGCGGAAAATCTCTTTTATATCACATTTTATAAAATGGTGATGAACAAAAATTAAAATCATTTTTTATAAACTTATTAAAGTGAATTAATTGGAAATAATTTTTTTTTTCAAATCACTGAAAACTGAGATTTTTCACATATAGGGACGATTTTTAAGCAAATATGGTGAATTTTTTTTTAATATTTTGAACGCCCTATTGGGTTTGCTCTTTTTAATTTGTTAATATATCAAATTCGGATTCAGCGACCCCAAATATTTCTGAGTTAATACTCTCTAAATTAGTAAAAAATTTTAAATAATTTGAATTAGTGGCTCTCTTTTTGCTTTTGAATTATAGTTAAATTTTACCAATTCGATAGTAAACAATTTTTTTTTCTATACTATTAATTAGTTAAATTTTACTAATTCAAAAGCAAAAAGTGCACTATAATACAAATTAGTTAAAATTTTTACTAATTCTTTAGAGAGTATTCAACATTTACACATTCGATGTAAAATCCATTAAACTGTTAAAATAATATGATAGCGATAATTAAAAATTGCTAACTCTTGATGTGTGTGCTTTCAATATTAATTGCAGATGATATAGAAGAAGACATTTATGAATCACAATCACACAGTTCGAGTCTGCAAGGACGAAAAAAGCGAAGTAGAGCTGCATTTTCACATGCTCAAGTTTACGAGTTAGAAAGAAGATTCGCGGCTCAAAAGTATCTCTCTGGACCGGAAAGAGCGGACCTTGCACGCGGTCTTAAACTCACCGAGACGCAAGTCAAAATTTGGTTTCAAAATCGACGGTAATTTTATTCAATATTTGTTTTTTCTATTTTATCGAGAGAAAAAAAAATACTCTCGAATTAAAATCAACATTTTGCTTTTGAATTAAAAATAAAAGATTTTAAAAGAAGAATTCTCTCAATTGAAGACAAAAGGAAAAACCTTAGGCGTTATTATTGAAAATTTTAAAAATAATACATATTTCTTTTCGATCACAGAATTAAAATTAAATTCAAAAATTTAATTAAAATTAAAATTTTTTCAAAATTTTGAGTATTGTTCAAGAAAATTTAGTTTTTTAATTTGCAAATTAAATTTTGATTTACACAGATACAAAACCAAAAGACGTCAACAACAGGAACTTGGAACTTTGGTAAATTCGGGAACAGCGAGACGTGTGGCAGTGAGAGTTTTGGTTCATCCTGACGAGCATTTGAGAGGATTACCACTTCGTGGTTCCGGACAAATTCCAGGACATCTCACGGGACCACAAATTCATCCCGCGAATAAAGCCATCAATGGTTTCCCGTATTATTGCCTACCCTATCATCCACTTTTGTGTTCGCCACTGCATTCACCCCAAATTCAAGTTCAAACAACAATCCCCCTAATGGAACACGAGCCTCGAGATACGCGAATATCCAAAATAGATAATCAAAAATAAATTTTGAAAAAATCGTAATAATAATAATAATAATAAAATAAGACCCTCTAAATTATTAGTGACTCTTTCCATAATGTGTAAAAAAAATATATAATTTTTTTGAATTTCAAATTTCATTCAGAGGAATCTTTTATATGCGTTTATTTTAGACAGATATAATTATTACTTGAATTAAATAAAATATAAAATTTGTTTCAATGTTTAATAAATTTTTATTTGTTATAAATAAAAAATTTAATTTAGCACAAATAAAATTTTCAATTAGACCAAAAATAAGATTTATTTAAAGCAAATGAATATGATATTGTCCTTTAAAAACCCTTTTTTTTTTGAAGGAATTTTAAAACGGAAATGAAATACAAACATTTATTAGCTTTGCTAATGGTAAAACATGGCAACCTGACATATTCAGAAATTGAAAGACGTCTTGATTTTTTCTCAACGGCGCCACCTACTTTGAGTTAGTCCCATCGGGTTTCATTAAAAAACAAGGATCCGACTACCTTCCCGTCACTTTCGACGTTAAACTGTCACGATGTCAAAGGGGGAAATTGGAGCGATGACGTGTAAAGAAAAAGAGATATTTCATTCCCCTCAAACACAAATGGTATTATATATATATTTACAAATAATGTTCGCGTCTATATGAAAAAGAAAAGAGAGGGAAATTTATGTTAATTACTTAAAATTTATTTAAACAAAATTAGAAATTATTCAAATTAAATAACATTAAACACATATGTGTAGAAAGTGCAATAAAAAAAAAATTTCCAAAGGTTTTACATTGTTACTGTGTAGATTTTAATTATATTAAAAACTATATATATTTATATCTTTAAATCCTAATAAGTGAAAATGGATTCTTAATTTTAATAAAAAGTATTAATTAATTTTTTAATAAAAAAATTATATTCCACTTTCATTTATATTTTTAAAAAAAATTTATTTAATTTTCGTAAATATAGTTTAATGAACAAAATTTAATATCTAATTTTTCACTTATTTGTATTTAAAGATTATTTTTATTTCGGTTTAATTAAATATGTATAAAATTCGTATATTATATATACGTTGATTATAGGTGAAAAGTGTAACTTATGAGTGTGAAATAAATTACCAGAATCACGTACATATTTATTAGACGAAGAAAAAACAGTGTAAATTAGAGTGTAAATAAATGTATAAAATATAAATCAAATGTTACCTCGAATATTGTTTTTTTTTTTTATTTTACCCTCTATAATAATATATTTTTTGCAAAATGTTTAATTTCACGGAAAAAAAATCTTTATTTGGAACAGCTATATATGTTTCTCAAGAATAGCGATAACTTTCGCTTTTTTAGTGAAACATTTCGCTGTTCCAATGAAACTTATCGCTGTTCCAAGTAAAGATTTTTTTCCGTGTTTAATTCAATATTAATGTGAAATAAAAAAAAAATTTTAATTATATTTTATTTCGTCAACAAAAAAATTATTTTGACATTTTTTTACTTTAAACTTTGTATTATTTTTAACAATATTTCATAATAATAATTTATTATTAATAATATATATTAAATTATACCTATTATTAATAGATATTATTTATTTTATTAAAAAATTATTATGAAATGTAATGTCAAAGCAAATCATGAATGTTTTGATTTATTTAGATTTTTATGCTTATATATACAACTATATATATATATATATATATATATATATATATATATATATATACTATATCAAACAATCCCCTTGGGAGTCAAAAGTGTCGTAAAAATCTTCTTAAACACGTTGTTTTTATACATAGTGGATTTCAAATGGTAGTATAGTTGTGCAAGGAGCAATTATTTTTCGTTAACGAGAACAAGAGATGACGATTTGCCGCACCACGAAGAAGTCAAGTTTTTTCCCATAAGTGTTTTAATAGTTCCATTTGGGTGGGCCGGACAGACACAAGATATGTTTATTCAGACGCGGAGACTTGCTGGCTTAACCGTCGCTTATGAAAAACGCCAAAGAACCGACACTCATCCGTTACAAACAAAAGAGTTACTTTAACCCCAGTCTGGCTAACGTTACCCCCAATTTTTGTAATCGCGATAATATATATCATCCTATTCGCGAATCACTATACATATATTCTTGAAAAGTGATTTAAATTTCCGTTATCTGAAAATTAACTGATACCTTGGACGTATTAAATATAATAATAATAATAATAATAATAATAATAAACTAAATTAAATAGTAATATGTTTAATATTAAATATTAATTCTAGAATGGAAAACTGGGATTATAGGCACCTCACGCGAAGTCCAAAAAATATCAATTTTGAGACTTTTATAGTTCGTTTTTACAGCTTTTTTCATATTTCTTTTCACTTTTTTCAAAAATGAATAGTACCATCGTCTTCTTTACTGAAAAACAAAAATAATTCATTATACTAAACATATTTTTCAGTAAAATAAAAACCTTTTACAAATGTTTCAAATCTGGGGTTCCAAACCAGCCCAGTTTTCGATTAGAGGGTAAAAAAATCATATTTCCATTCTAGGGTTAATAAAAGGCATTTTACTCCCTTAGTGTTGAAAATGTTCATTTTTTACTTCATAGAATTGAAAAGGTATTTTTCGCAAAGTTTTGAAAAACCGATTTTACTATATATCATATAGACGGTGGCGCCCTCAACTAGGATAAAATTTGTTGCAGGTAATTTTTATACCGATTTTGGGGTAAAAATTCTACTTTTTCTTTCGTGTAGAGTCGAAAAGGTAAATTTTACTCCCTAGAGTTGAAAATGTTAATTTTACTATTCCTAGAGATGGAAAAACATTTTTTTCATGGTTTTAAAACAGCCGAATTTATACTATTTAGAGTCGAAAAAGACAATTTTACTCCCTAGAGTTGAAAATATTCATTTTACTTCATAGAATTGGAGAAGAATTTTTCGCAAAGTTTTAAAAAGTCGATTTTACTATTTAGAATCGAAAAGGGCAATTTTACTCCCTAGTGTTGAAAATGTTCATTTTATACCCTAGAGTTTGAAAAGAATTTTTTCTCATAGTCTTAAAAAAGACGATTTATCTAGAGTTGAAAAAGGCAATTTTACTCCCTAGTGTTAAAAAACAACCTTCTTTACCCAAGGGTTGAAAAAGGAAATTTTTCTCCTCTAGAATTCAAAAATTCCATTTAACTTCTTAATGTTTTTTTTTCAAACATAAACTAAATTTTCAAGTAAAGTTGAAGCAATATTTCATAGAAAATTAAATCCAAAAATTTTGACAAAGAAATTCAGAATTTTCTCTTTTTTTCTTTTATTTATTAATAATATTCCTTGACATTGCCATGAAAATACTTCATAAATTTTGCACCTCAACATTTACTAAAAATATGTGATACGTGGGAAATTGGTCATCATCTTAAAAAAAACGACTTTTTTTAAAGTCTCATAAATATAAAGTTATTACAGTTTTTTTTTAAAGAAGAAACAAAAAAACGAAAACAGATGGATCTTTAAACGCATTTATCAAATATATATATATATATATATATATTGAAACATAAAAATTTTTTTCATAAGTTTCCTCTTTGAAATTGATTCTCGTAAGCGCCTCTCGATTTCTTTTTTTCTCGTGAGCACATTATTTGGAGGGGAAAGTTTATAGGCGCTTCTGCAGTCCATTATCGTTTTGTTTATAACAATTCATAAACAGGCTAAAGCCGTAATACTCTTCTTTCGAACCAGACACTGCGTACTGTTTGACAGTAAAGATACTTGTTCCGAAACATGACTTAATGACTTGTGGTTTTCGTATCTTGCATTCCTCACGATTTCAAGTATAGAGAGAATAATTCTAAAAATTGCTAAATTTAATTTTAAAAGCGAAAATTTCTATAACAATGATCACTAAAAAAAAGCATACTAATACAATAAAAAAAAAAAATAATTTATGAAAAAAAATTTTGTAGAAAAAAATGAAATTAAATCACTTAATATTTTGTTTCGACAATTAAATTAATTATTTTATAAATTAGGCAAAAAATTAGTTGTATTTTTTTTCATTAGAATATAAAAAGAAAATAAGTTAATTACTGGTGAATGTTTTGGGTATTTTTTTTTTTTTTTTTTTTTTTTTTTGAAAACAGAAACGTTGATACATAATTGCCGGAGTGAGAGATTAAAAAGGAAAAGGGTTGATCCTTTGAATCCGAGCATCATTAAGCATTTTAATCTCCATTCTCGCGTGCGATTCCATCTCCCGATAAACTTTTGAGAATGTTGAATTTGAAGCGCGCACACGAAACGAATCGATCGTTTTAACAACACACCGGACGAATCTCCTGCCGAAACAAGAAAGGAACGATTTGACGCTCAATCAGGCGAGGGAAGCTAATTTTCATTAGCTGTTAATAGGGTGACCCCCCCCCCCTCTGTCGTTTCCAGTTCCCTCATCTAAAAGGTTCTTTGCTCCTTTTCGCGCCCTTTCATCCTCGCACAGTAGCTGAGGATAGGAGTTTTACATTGCAGATATAACTGCAAGCTTTATATATATATATATATGTATAGTGGAAGATAGCGTTTATATAACCCTTGGAAAAATGGTAATTAGCGAAGCAGTAAACCATTCCAAATGATTGTATGCTATGCGAGAGAAAATGCGAATTGCTTATAATTGCCGTCAACGAGTTTTAAGGGTTGGAATATGAATTAAATAGAACTTGGCGCAGCATAGAAAGTGTGGCCAATATATATATATATATATATATATATATATATATATATATATATAAGAGCGGCAGAGAGAGAACACTTAACTTGAATCCATTCATAAAATGGAAAAATCGAAAGTGATGACATTCTTCTTTTTTTTATGGGGGCGTATTTGAAATTCTTTCAATTTATTACATACGTTATTTTTTATTTTTCAGATTATTATCCTATAAAAATTATTTGTTATATAATTTTCATGTTAAAAATAATTTTATTAGATATCATTTTTAGATGAATTTTCGCAATTTTTGAAATTAGCATTTTGACAGAATTTCCTATTAAACCAATTTTTTACTGAACCGAATTTTTATATTTAGCAAAATTTTATGTTCTTCGAATTTGAAATTCCAGAATTTTAATTTGTCTGAATTTTTATATTTCCACAAATTGTTATTTAATAGAATTTTTATTTATTAAGAAAACAACTTTTCTTTTGGGAATTTAAAAAATGTTACTATACTTTCTTTATATATATATTTTATTTCAAATCTATTATCACTCAAATTTTACTGATTCATATTTAGAATGTTGAAATTTTTTCATTGTTACCTTGACTGTGTTCTGTGAATCTTAAAATGTAAAAAGTATTAAATTATATATTTTTTTTTATCGTCACTGTTGGTGGAGGTTGAAAAATTTCAATGTTCTCGCTGATGCTGAACCCCATTACCAATTTTACACGAGCCATTTCCATCGGTATAAAAAATTTTTTTCCAAGCTCTCTCTCTCTCTCTTTCTCTCTCTCTCCTCTTACAATCAACGTGATTCCAGTGTAAGTGAATTTGAAAGTATAATCGATTCTCATGTCCAATTTTTGTCTTCAATTTTTATTTCCTCATATTCACAATTGCAATTTTTCATGTAAATTTTATGTCAATTAAAAGATAACCAAAAAGAAGCTGTTTACAATAATAATAATAATAATTTTTTATATACTACAATAATGAAAAATAAAAAATTAAACATTTAATGAATTAATAATTTATTTTTTGATACTAAAATCAATATTTTATAATAAACTTTGAAGTTAAAA